AACAATCTATTCAATTTCTTTAATTTTTCTATACGTTACAATGTGGGTAAAATAACATTTTAAAAGTTCAAAACATTATTGATAAAGATAACACTTTCATAATAAAATATATAATCAAGTAAGTACATATTTATATATTATACTCTTATATTTTTATTGACTTCTGATTCATATTGGGAGATTGCACTGATTAACGCTGATATTTTATTCGATTACAATTAAATTTTTACGAAATTCACCTTTCCAAAAATATTATCTATACTACATTTAAACAAATTGCCTGACTCCAAAATGAAAAAATACTACAAACATTCATAGATTTCTAAACCTCATTGCCTAATATCTTATAATTTCATTAGCTAAAATTTGATTTCACATTAAAAATACCTAATTTCCTATTCAAATTCTTCTTCTTGGGAATGCTTAAAATTTTACCTACTATGCCTAAAACGCACGTGATTTTTATGTACTATACTTTAAAAAAAAACTTTTTTTTTCCTGCCTATCACAATCATACGATTACGAATCATCCTTATCTCGTATTTTTCTTTAAAACGAATATCCTTGCATCTATTTTCCAATTCGACTTATTCATTTACTTTCATAGAATCGTATAATATTCTCTTTATTTTTACCACATATTTCCTTAATTGTCTTATTTGACCATACTTTATTCCTAAATCTCGCTCGTAATAATTAATTTACTTCATAAAACATTATCGGTGCACTGATTTTCATAACACATATATAGGTACTTTTTATACACATTATACACATGTATGCTCTATACGCTCGGCGCCGGCGTTCTTTCATTTTCGTTTTACTTATTTATTTGGTACATATATTATTTTATTTATAGTCGACTCTTAATTATCATATAATAAATGGACAACTTTGTGCCATTTGGGTTGTGCGCACAACCTAATTATTATTATTCGGGGGTCAAGGTTTAAGCCTCTTTTGGACTCCAACATATCTCACAGAGAAACGCAGTTTACACCATGATCGAATGGAAGGATCTGACCCTCCATGTGCCACCAATATCATTTATAGATAGGGTCATGAATTAAGATATTTTTGATCTCCAACAGTATTCAAAGAGGAATCTCGTTCGCACCTTAACACCTGAAGGACCTGATCCCTATAGTACCCTTGTGTACCGAATAACGAGCATTTAATAACCATATTCATTCTTATCCTGCAAAAAATAAATAACATTCCTTAATTTGAATATTAGGGTAAATAAGAGTGTCATAGCTCTTGGGTGATCAGTCCAATCGCTCGTGAAACATTATGAACCATAACATTCCCTAACTACCTTTTATAAACTAATGCCGAGTTTCCAATACCTACAAAAGACAACACATAACCCTAACCATCTCTATACCATGCTGTACCTAATTGCAAACTTTAAAGTTACAAAAAGATTTTAATACAGCCTACATAACTTATCTTTTCCATTTCACTCCCTCAAAAATATTTTTCAATCCACATAATCGCTAATCTTTATACCTATGTCTCTAAATATCTTTTCAATATAATTATACATGGCTACCTATTTGAAATCCCTGTTTTTATCTATCGTTCCCAAGTAATATAACTCCTACCTATTTAAGTTTAGCATAATAAGTAAACTTAAGTTACACCTTCGCTAAAACACAACTCGCATAAATGCATATGCAGCATTCCTTATACTGATACAGAAATGCAATACGTAATCCTATCTACCTTTGCCTTATTTGTAAAGTTATTCAAAACAATTACGAGAATCTGTCACTAGGTGTCTAATAACTGAAACTAACAATTTATAATTTAGACTCGTGATTACTTTTATCAATCTAATACATACATAAAATTATAAATTTCGAATTCCCTGACTTAAACCTTTCGTAAAATTACTACAAAATCACTAGATACTACCTTCGTGGTCACGTCACATGCATACAACACGTGTTGCTAGGTCAGCACTCACGATGTCGTTCGCTTATGAACTCAATTACGAAATCACTATTTTAAATTTATATGCATTAAAAGTTTAAGTTTCTGAATTTAAACAATAACTTTAATAATAAGATACACTAAAACAAAATTTTATATTCTAATTGTTAACCGACTGCAAAAAGGAGGAGTTTTCATGAATAAACAAACCAAAATAAAACAAATCTAACAGATCATAAAAGTTTCGATAGGATTTTCCCTATGTTTTGACATGCTAAAAGAATTCTATATACAATCGAATTAAATATTATCGGTTTAAAAATAAGTCACATACCTTTTTATAACGATTTCGCACACTCAGAGCTGTAAAATTTAGAAAACAACATTAATAACGTATACATAACGAACAATATTTCCTATGATTTTAGTAAATATAAAATCAATTTTCATTAAAAAAAGTCATTGTCAAATTACAAAATTCTAATTTAGAAACACTTGATTTTTATCGGTAAAGAAAGAAAATAACTGAATACAATTTTATGCTTAGGAACAGCTAGAAAAATTTAAACAGAAATCATACTCCTATTTCTTTTATACTACAATTATTGAAATCATGTCCTTAACTTGCAGTTACACATCATCAAAATATCATCAACAACCGTTTTTTATTCATTTTATAGACAGAGTATAAAGATATCCATTACTTATAAAGTTTCTATGTTTTCCACTAAATATTTTTAGTAAATCTAACGCGAACCTCCTTCGCATACAAAAATAAAATTAGTGCCGTAATAACTAGACATTACTGAATACAAAAAACTTTAGATATAAAAAAAACATATTTCTAGAAAATATTAAAAAAAAAATATAAAACACTTCCTTTTTAAGTATACACATTTTTCACTTATTTCACATGTTTTTGGTCTATTGACTGGATCATCTCCCTGCCGCATCCAACATCAGACACCAACATCTCCCGGCGCCCTGCTCTTTCCATCATTTTCATCTACCTCAGCTTCAACAACAACGGATGAGAATATCCAGCAGCAATTTTATAAACTCGTACATATTTTTGTATGATTTTATTTGGGAATTAAGTCTTGCAATACATATATTAAATCACTTATTTTTATGAATTTTCAGTCATTTTCTGTCCATTATTTTATTTTTATGCACTTCACTGAACTCCTCATATTTTATAGATCTTTTTTTTGAAGTTATACTTCTTTAGGCACGTTATGAAAAAATGATGAGAGTGAAATTTTAAGATGCGCGCGCATCACTTTAACACAAAATTTTAACAAGATGAAGTTGGTCGCTTTAGCTTTATGTGGTTTTTGGTTCTACTACACCAATGGTCAAGAGATGGCGCTGTAGTCTCCTGAATCGCGCTTTGGTTCCGTTGTTCCAGATTAATAAATACTTTTGATATTATAAATATGAATACCTATAACTGTTACTTTATTACAAGAAATAAAGATGTGGTTTTTGGTTCTACTACACCAATGGTCAAGAGATGGCGCTGTAGCCTCCTGAATCGCGCTTTGGTTCCGTTGTTCCAGATTAATAAATACTTTTGATAGGCCTTCACAATGCAGTCGTTAGCACCCACTAAATAGAGATTCTATTTCTATTTTGTTGGTAGATTTTCTTAATGTGCGGTAAACACAAAAGTAACGGATGCAGTTGGTCGCTAAAGCGACCAATTTCATGCTGTTAAAATTTTGTGTTACAGTGATGCGCGCGCATCTTAAAATTTCACTCTCATCATTTTTTCATAACGCGCCTAAAGAAGTATAACTTCAATAATTATCTCATCATTTATTTTACTGTTTGGACACACTACCTACTAGAAAGAGACCCCTTCCACTAATTGAGGTTCACTCTTCGGAACGTTTTTGAGGGTCACGTAAGCTTTCCAGTTAGTATATAAGTTCCTTGGTGTGTCCATAATATTTACGAAAAAACAGAAGCACCTCATAAAAATACTGATTTTCGAAACAGGTTTTTTGTTCATCAACGCATTTCTTTATAAATCTGTTTCTTTGTTCTCTTTTACTGTAATTTATCTGTGAAAATATGCGCTCGCGTGCAACAATCGATACTGGTATTTTTCACAGAGATTTACTTAAACTAATTATAATTTTCTATTAAATTTTAATAAATACTATAATTTAACTGTTACATTATTATTTATTTGAAACAAAGGAAAAAAGGCGAAAAAACGTAGGACTACAATGGGGACAGATTTAAAAAAAAATGTAGTGTTTACTACCTCATAGAAGCTTGTCCAGAAAGCTGAGTCGATACATTTTGTGCCAAACACTCCAAGAAACATTAGAAAGCATCACACACACATTCTAATGTAGAAAAAAGGAAGATTGATACAAAAATAAGACGATGGCTTTGCCTTTCCCAATAGAGAAGAATAGAACTATAAAGGCGGTTTTTTTTTGGGCGGGATTTCATCAAATGCGGTTGTCGTCTTATTAATTATTTTTTAATTCGTTCATAGTGGATATTGTTAAATAAAATTGCTGTGATTTTGTGTAACAACCGTCAGCGCAACTGAAGAATTAGTGGAATCTTGAAAATATACGCTATTCCGGTCAAGTGGATGTGAGAACTTTACTGTAGTGTTGTCTACCCCACAGAAGGTTATCGAAAAAGCCAATTCGATACATTTCGTGCCAAAGGATGTATACAGAAAGAAAGCTGGAAGCGCTTCTCAGCGCTGGTCCTTACTGGTAACAGTTACTTAAAGGAAGCAGATTGAAGCGTAGTTGTTCATTAATTTCAAGGGGTGGTGCCAGCGCTCACCAGCGCGTATCGAAGATTGTCGGAACTTGTCGGCGACGTTTGGCGCCGGTTACCTGTGCGAACCGGTTCCTATAAGCGCTGGTAGGCTACCAGCTTTCTTTCTGTATACGGCCAAACACTCCAAGAAACATTAGAATGGTATTCTAATGTAAAAAAACAAGAATATTAATATGACTAAAATAGATACAGCCTAGAGGCTGTATGGAAATTATTCCCTTTGCCTTGCCTAAAAATGGAGATTATTGAAAATAAAAAGTAGTTCTTTGTTGCGGGAGAGAGAAAGAGAAATAACACTGAAAAATAATAGAAGAGAAGAAAATACATTACGATTTCGAGAGAGTTTTCTAAATTACAGACTACAATTATTGGTGGTGTATGGTTTAAAATTGGATTACCCATTGTGGGTATTATAATAGCATTTAACATGACCTGGCGAAGTCACGGTATTAATAATGCAGATATGATCCGAAATTTACGGGGTCTGTATCTAAAATATTGTAAAAGTTCAAAACGCATTTTCTTCGTTGTTTATGTTGTTTTTAACAATGAGTGTCTGTTAATGTAAGCTTCACCTTTTTTCCAGCAAACGGTATAATCAAATCGGATACCGTAGCTAATGCAATGATTGCTGTTGATAGAAAAAATTACTGTCCATATGCACCCTATCATGACTCTCCACAGTCTATTGGTTACTCGGCGACGATTAGTGCTCCTCATATGGTGAGACTTATGGCTTTTGCTTTGTATTTTTGAGGCACATTCAAAACATAAAAGTAGCCCATAGAAATTGTGATATTGAAATTGGCTTTGAGACCAAAGAGCTATGAAACTATTTGATTAAAGGAACCTGAAAACAATGTATATTATTTTACCTCTCGGGGGCTGCAGTTATCCACCAACATAATAGCAGTCAACATTTTTGTTTATCAGAAGCTAACTTATCAATTTTCAGTTTTCTATTTCTATAGTTGATTTATAGCTTAATGCAGACAAAGTCCCTAAAGTATGAATTTTAAAACAGAATGGAGTAAAGTAGTAACTGTTGTGTTAAATTTGGGAAACTTTTTGCTACAATTTATAAAAAATCGGTTTTTCATTTCAGCATGCTCATGCTTTGGAGAGATTAAAAAATCAATTAGTACCTGGTGAAAAGGCTTTGGATGTGGGTTCAGGTTCTGGATATTTAACAGCGTGTATGGCTATCATGCTAGGTGAAAATGGCAGAGTTGTTGGCATCGAACATATCCCCGATCTTGTCACATTAGCTACTAAGAATATAAAAAATGATCACCCTGATTTGTTATCTTCAGGGAGGATTAAACTGATTGGTAAGCTCTTTAAACAAATTAACTGGGTACCTAGTGGGTAATACAGAACTAATTTTATTAAATTTAAAGATCTAGCAGTTATAGCTTTACAATACAAATATAATAATTTTATTATTATGTGCAATGTAACTATTAATTGCTTAAATAATTATTTAAGCTACAATTTATAATAGATGTGATTGTAATTTTTTGCTTTTTGAGCAACTGTTCACCAATTTTGATTTCCGAGATATAGAAACACATGGAAGAAAATGCCAAAATTGCTTAAAAGATTTGTATGGTATGATATATATTGTTATGGCAACTCACGTCCAGGTTGCTCTAAGTAAGAATAAAACAGTCAAGTCTTATTTGAAAACTGTTTTTAGTTGGTGATGGTCGTCTTGGTTATCCACTTGAAGCACCTTACAATGCCATCCATGTTGGAGCTGCAGCACCCTCCTTACCTCAAGCTGTAAGTTGACCCTAAATGAGTTAGTTAGTTATTATTATTTATAGTTCTAGTTAATCTACCAAGTATTGCGTATATTCCAGCTGATGAGTAAGCACTATTAAGTTTTTAGTGAGTTAGCTCCTTCATCAGGAACAGCCATTGGGACAGACCCATAGGTAGGCTCGCTGGGTGGGCGGGATTTGTGGGTAGGAGGCCCACATATCCTTTTTAGTGTTCCATAGTCCTGTCAAGGAACTCTTATAGTCACAACAAATACTGTAGAAAAAAACAGGAAACAATAGATTGTAGGAATAATACTGCCTATTTTCAAATTTCGAAACCATATTAGGTTTTTCTTTTTAATATGTAACAACCTTGAATAATCTATTGTCTCCTTGTTTTTCCGAATTAAACTCAAAAGTGCCAATAATAGGATGAGTGCCAATGATTGGGTGGTTTCCCCTATTTCTGACAGCCCTCTGTGCAGAGCCTGCCTGCAGGACGAGGGGACGAGCACCCATGTTCTACTGGTGTGCAGGGGTGTTGCAAGACAAAGGACTTGTCTAATGGGAAGCCCGAAGACAGTAGTAGAGGCCTGCAGCAACATTCGGGGACTGCTGAGCTTTCTGGAGGAGCTGGGATGGCAGGACTGATGCCAATCCCCACGCAAAATAGGCACTGGGTGTCAAGTTGCGGAAACAGCCCGCCGTTCTACTAAGACTAAGAACTCTTACAGTTTCGTCATGCCTGTCTATCTGTCTGTCCCCGATTTTGCTTGGAGACTGTTAGCACTAGAGAGCTGTAATTTTGTGGAGATGTGATATATGATTTTGTATGTATTGGTTTAAATGTGATAAAATATTCCACAGCTTGTTGAACAATTGAAGCCTGGTGGTAGACTCATTGTGCCGGTTGGCCCTGAAGGAGGAGAACAGCATCTGACTCAGGTATAATTATAACGAAAATAATATTACAGATTATAATGTTTTTAAACTACCTGTAATTCTGCCTTCCCTTAGAATAATAACGCCTAAAAGCCTAGTTCTAGGAGCTGCCAGTGCACAACAGCGCGTCGCGTGTCGAACAATGCTTTCGAAATGTTATTAAAAATGATAGTTTTTACTATTAATGAAAGTACTTACACATCGGGAAAACCAAACAAAGTGGGACAGTATATATTTAACGTGTAATTAATGCATTTAATATACGTATATCGATTAAAAATCGAATAATTATAGTCTGACAAGTGAGTCGTGGCACAAGAATTATTACAAATGGCAACACTGTTAACTGTCATAGGTAGAAAAAATATAATATCACTTGAAATTATCATAACCTCTACGTCTTGCTGTGGTGTAGGGCTGCCATCTCTAAAATGTGGCAACCAGGACAAGACGCGTGATAACCCCGGATTTTGGAGCCAAAAACCCGGACAGACCAATAAAAAAGTAGTTAAAAATGTCACAAATCAACTTTTTTTATGTTGATGTAGGCAAAAGAGCTAGCTGTCCACATGACAATAAGTGGTCACTGCTGCCCATAGACACTTGCAGCACCAAGGGCTAATCATGCGTTGCCAGCTCTGAACGAAAAGGTTCATCCGCCATTTTAAGATTACCATATTATAGCTATAAGAAAAAAATACTGAGGGAAGTTCGTTCCAGATCTTGCTGGTACGCAAAAGAAAGGAACACATGGTGCTCGAACGCCAGGCGCCCAGATGGTGGGCGTGAACTTCTCTGCGGTGTGTGCTGTGAAGAAGCTTGGCCACTGGCATCCGGTTGAATAATTCCTCAGAATACTCTCCATTGTATAGACGGTACAACACGTAGTTGCGTCCTTGTGCGTGTTGTACCGTCTGCGTAGTTAAGGGGTTGCAACGCGTGAGTGAGCTCAGGATCATCGATAAGTCAAACTGCTCGCTTTTGCATCCGGTCAAGAGGAAGGAGCTGGTATTGGGGTGCTCCAGCCCAGAGGACCAGTACTTTGTATAATAACACCCGGTATTTAGGCTTGAGGTACTCTATTGAGCACCCAAGCTTTTTCACACACACATGTGTCTTTGCTGGGTTAATCCAATAAAATTTTGTTGGCTCCAATTTGAGACTTGATCCAGTAACATCTCAAACTCGGACACAAGTCTGTCTTTACACCCTTCTACTTCCATCCGAGGGATGTTTGACCGACCAGTGTAAAAATTATCGAATTCGAATAGTTTGCGAGTCCGAAATGTCACGAATTCGATATTGGTTCGTGCTAGGGGTACTGATCTTTGTAGGAAGTCAGCATTTACGGTTACAATGTTAAAATAGATTTATTTATTTTCAAAGACATATTAACGGATCAATTGGCGATCAAAAACAGAAAATTTATAAACCCGGACTACAAATGAAACTCCGCCTGGAGGCTCCCCGGACACCCTGTAAACTAGGACAAATCCGGGGAAACCCGGACGGATGGCAGCCCTACTGTGGTGTGATATTTATTAGTTTTTTTTTGAAAAATGTCGAAACCCATTAAAAGCAGTGTTGGGAGTTTGTTATATATTATGATAAAAAGGTATGAACAAAGAAAAAGTGAAACAAGCCGACGTGTGGAGGAAAAAATACGTTTTTGGACGAAATTGTTTCGTCTGCAAGTAAGTGTAGCCAGCACATTTTGATACTTATATGTACATTCAACTAAGAAGAGGTGCTTTTCTTTTAAATTACTGTATAACTTTCGGGGCAGTAGGTATATTATTGCAATAAAGGTAAGAAGGTACTAAATTTTTTTTTGCTGATTTGAAGGTATGTCGGATGAGGAAGACATTAAACGCTAAATCAAAGATTTAGTCAAGGACCTCAAAGATAAAGAGAATAAAGATCTTATTACCTCAAGTTATTTAACGCATTTGTCTACTCTAACAGGTAAATTTCAATATACTTATTTGCGCCATATTTTATACTTGTACATAGACTTGGGTAGCTAACCTAATTATACTTTTATAATTACAGATGTTAGTTTAAATACAATGAGAAGAATAAAATAGGAAGGTTCTTTAAACCAGGGTAAATGGAACACACCAGGAAAAAAACGCCCTCCTCAACCCCGTGTTTCTAACTTAGATGATTTTGACATTTTTATGTGCAATCGGGAGTAAAATAAATGAATTTTATTGTGTTAAAAAGCAACTTCCAACAATAAAAACCTTATTAGCGCTGCGAGAATCCATTGGATTCACAGAATCCTGTGAAACATTAAGACAAATATTGTTTAAAAAATGGTTTTGAATTCAAAGCAATAAAAGCGAATGGTCTCTTCTAATTGAAAATTTTGAAATTTCGGCTTGGAGATAGTCTGCCATTTTAGACAGATCTAAAATGGCAGACTATCATGATGACATGAACCATAACAACTTCATGAAATGGTTGGAAGAAAAATTGATACCTAATTTAACCGAACATTCTGTAATTGTTATGGATAATGCGAGTTACCACATTACACAAATAAACAAGGCCCCAACGATGAGTAATGTAAAGGCTGATATTCAGAAGTGGCTCAGTGATAATGGCATTCCTTTTGAAGAAGATTTTGATTATGTTTCAGAATAATTAAATGATTTTTTTTATACATTTTGTGTATATCCGTTTTCCTTATTAATGTATTATTAAGGTGGAACGACTGGCATGCTAGCGCCGCTTAAAAATAAAGCTATTCCACATTCCACTTGATTATAATTTATTTTTCGAGACACTAAAAACAATAATATTATTAAATTGATAATGTGGTCGATTCTAACATGATACTCTAAACCTAAACTTAAATTTGACAACAGTATATCCTTGTCATTTCATCATTCATGAGAATCACGTCAGAATTGGCACTATTGTGTTTTCATAGAAACACATATCACTTGTTTAGTTTTTTAGTTCTTAAAAACTTTATTAATTTTTTGTCGGTTAGCGGCGCTAGAGTACGGATTGTTCCACATTAGTGATCACCGACATGTCTACACTGCAAGCCTTGGTGAATCAGGCATGAATGTCTCATAGATAAATGACCAATTGAAACATGTTTATATGGTGCTATTCGTACTACATCGCTTCATTATTATTTTGTTTTTCAAATAGGTATAATAAAATATGGAAAAATTTAAGTATCAACATGATTATTCTCACTATATTCAGGGTTAACATATGAAAGATTTTTAAATTTATCGCCACGAGCTTGTGCCACGACTCGCTTGTCGGACTCTACACACGACTTTTCACAGTATAATGTTGCTAGTTGTGAGAAAAAGATTGCATACAATATTTTCGTTGATGCATAGGTTAATATTTTTATTGTATACTTTTTCGCATATCTCTGATAGGTATCTACATTTATGCAAAACCTAACATATTGGTGTCACCAGCTCTATAAAAAATAATGTCTATGAATAATGATTGAAAGATACTTTTGTCCCTAAAATTTTACTTCCATTATAATAATAGTAGAACATTATTATTCATCTTGCCAAATACATACTTTGGTATCGCATAACAAACCAATACGTTTCCCCAATTTGTAGTGTTCGATAGGTGATGGTAACACTTAAATCATGATATGTGGAAATACACTTAAAAAAATTTATTTTGGGCAACGTTTTTTGTTTTGTTAAGATACATCATACAAAAATACATACAACCCTAAATTTTCACCCTTGTACCACCAACCCCTTTCTTTATGTACGAAGTGTAGACTGGAACAGCTAGTTTTACTATAAAATTTCACCAATTAATGGAACCTTTTCTTTCTAAGGTGGATAAAGCAGCAGACGGTACTACAACGATCAAAAAACTCATGAGTGTTATCTATGTCCCTCTAACTGACAAGGATCACCAATACCGTGAGTGACGGTGCACAAACTTCACAGTACTTAATTACTCAGTATTCGTTCTGGTTGTTGTGTTCTTCTTTTTGATAACTCGAATAATACTTAAATATAAATAACATACTTATTAGTTCATCAAAATACAAGGGTCCGTAAAAAATCTTATGAAAATGTAAATATGTATATCTTTAAAAATTATATCTTATAAAAAAGCGATAATACGACGCTTGCAAAGCGAAGAATAATAAACCGATGTAAAATAACACCTTTTTATTTTGATTTATTTGAATTATTTAGATTTGTATCCAGAGTAATATTTTAATAAATTTTAAAAAATAACTGAAAAATTTCCCTGTTATGAAGATGCACATCTTTTACATTAAGTTCCTAGTTTTATTAGTAGATAAGATGAGTAAGATGGCTCCAGTGCACTAGATATACGTAACTAAGTATACTTTAATCATAACGTAACAAAAGATGTTGTTACTTGTTCTCATCTGAAGCTAGTCTAGAATCAGGTGGGATGGTTTTTTTTAATTTATTGGCAATGGAGGTGGGATGGGTCTTATCTAGTGTTGCCAGGTCCGATTACTTTTAAATCGGTACACGAGGTCAAAAAAACAGGATTTAGGGTTGCAGATCGGGACAGTAAACAAAAAACAAGGGGTTTTTAAGTCTGGGTTTAATTTATTGCGTTTTAAACTACTAGTGCAGGTATAGTATTATATTATTTACCTTTTATTTTTTTGATTAATCGGGACATTTAGCGTCCTGATCAGGTAGAAATAGGGACGCGTCCCCAGACCTCTGAAAATCGAGACGTCCCGCGCAAATCGGGACACCACCACATTGGCAACACTAGTCTTATCTGCCACGACGCAAGAAGCAATGTAATAAAATCTATAATGTGGTGGCTAACAAGCATAATATGCCTCGCCGCCATAGCCTATAAGCTATGCCGATCACGAGCATCTGCTCGCGATATTAAAATATCATTTGTACCGTTGCCTACCCTGACCCCATCTTCTTACCCCGTGGAGCCCTAGAACCTTAACTAACCGACAGAATTACAACATCACCACAAGATAGTGTTTTTTCTGCTGTGATCTGCTAGATAAAGGTTACTTCCCCAGACCACCCTCGAGGAACCCCTTTGGAAATTAGGTACTATGGTTAATATATACTATGAATGTAAAGCTATACATTTTGTTTTAGGTCCACGGCGCTAAACATTTCATTAAATGATGATTTCATTTTTCTATTAATTAATACTTCAATAAATTGTATTTTTTTTATTCGAAATTATGCTATATGTACATACAAAAATAAATTAACTTATTACCTACATTTTATTGTTTATTTTTATACATCTGTCTCCGAGGAAACTTCTTTTTGCCAAACTTTTTGTCTTCAGCAGCATCGGCTGGTTTAGCTTTCATATGCAATATAGAATGAAGGGTGTCTGCTTCGTTTTTATTCTCTATAAGGTCTTCCAATTGATTCTATAAAACATGTACAAGACATAAATATTGTATTGAAATAATTATTAATCATAATCATATATAGTCCAGGCAAGGAAAAGGTAAAGAGGGAAATGCTTAGAACACAATTTTTGACTTCGTAACTTTGTTAGGACTAGTTAGGAGCATTGCCGGATTTAGGGGAGGGCAACCGGGGCAAAAGCCCCGGTTGAAGGTCCCATTTTAAGGTTTTTCGCATATATCTCGGAAACTATGCATCCTAGCGACATAAGACTGTGACAAAAGTGAAAGCTGATTAAATTTGCTACAAGTCTTATTCAGTCAAGTTTTTTGATATCTTGTATAGTTTTCGAGATATCCGCTCTTAAAAGTCTGTAATTATGGAAAAAAAAATTGCTTCACATTTTTGCTCTATTTGACCGGATAACTCTTCAACAATGCCGGCCGTAGGGTTGTTGGTTTCACCAGTGAGCAGCATGCAGATTTCGGACAAGCCCGCCAAAACAAGGATGGAGCTGACATTGCCAAGCTCACCGATTGGTTTGAGACATTTCTTCCCTTCCCAGAGACCAGAGACATTATCACGTCACCAGAAATCCCGAAAGCAGCAACGGTCTTTTCACACCCTTTCTCCACCACCGCTCAAGTACAAAAGGCAGGTGAAACCTGCATCTTAAGGTGGTATGGAGCTCCAGCGAAAGAGATTTCCCTCAATGCCTACAGGTACAAGTCATTCTTGAAATCAGTGGCCACCATCAAGCCTGATATCTCTTATCTTCCTCCCACCGAGGGAGCAGTAAAACAGTATTCCCAGGAAATGGTGGCAATTTTTTTTTTTCTATAATTACAGACTTTCAAGAGCGGATATCTCGAAAACTATACAAGATATCCAAAAACTTGACTGAATAAGACTTGTAGCAAAACCTATAAATGGGACCTTGTAGCAAAACCTATAAATGGGCTTAAGGGCTACGGGCGGGGACTTTTGATATGTTTACCTCCTAACTAGTCCTAACAAAGTTACGAAGTCAAAAATTGTGTTCCAAGCATTTCCCTCTATACCTGTTTTTGAGCATTCGTTGCCTGGACTAATAAGTAACAATTCATCACTTACTTTAGTCAACGACAGCAAATGATGTAGTGAAACACCTCTGTTAAGTATTCTTGAAATATTTTTAGTGGTGACGCCTGGCAATTTCTGAACGAAATCGTGAACTAGTACATTGTATCTTTCATAGTTCATGTCGTCGGCTGTATTTTCACCGCTAAGTGCGAGTGCTTCTGCTACGTTAGGATTCTTTCTTCCTTGCTACAAATATAAGGAAAGAATAATTTCGTTAATCCCATTGAAGAAGTAGTGTCCACTAATATCTGATATTTTTTAAGATTTTTGGCTGTTTATACATACGAATACATATGCACGTAAAAAGTGCTATTTATTAGATGTAAACTCTTTGAATCGGATATTAGTGTAATTTTCTACTTTAGTGGTTTTATAGGGTTCCCCACCTTGAGACTGATATCTGAACCCTTTTTACTATGCGTCCATGGTTCATCTGTCCATCGTTCAGCAGGCTATATTTTATAAACAGTCGGAATATAACAATCGCTGTATTTAAAATGTTAAACCTTGTATAATGGTACGAAACCGTTGCCTTGCCCTCGTTTATATAAATATGCTAGCAAATAACTGTCCTGATGTTAAACGTAACAGTATATACTAAATGCAAGATACTTATTATGCCCGAGATAGCCATACTGGCCATGCTACATAAATATCAAATAACGTTAAACTTATTTACCTTTAGTTCATAGAAAAGTTCTGCAGTAGCATAAGGACTTGGTGACCAAACTAGCTTTAACCTCGGAAAGTGTATTGTGAGAAGTTGAAGTTTCTGTTGAATATTTGCCCCCGATATGTCTGAAGAGACCACAAGATTTCCCTGTAAGTAAAAAAAAGCACAATTAATATTATTTGGTTTTTTTGCTACAGATGTAGAATACGCGCTATTATTTATAAGCGAAATCTTGCTCTGAAGGAAAATCACGTGTTGTTGATTGAGTTATCTTTGCGTTACAGTAATATTGTTATTATTAGCCTTTATTCTCAGTGGCCCCCGGCGGGGATTGCCAACGGAGGCAAATGGGAATGAAGTTATTGCCCCATTTCGGTTTTTTTTAATATTCATTATTATTCTACCTTATGAATTTTTATGACACATTAAAAGATTCTATTAAGAAAAAATATTGGACATACCTTGAGAAGTAAAATTCATCACTGAAACTTTCCACAAAATTAAGAACTAATACCACCATGAGATGTTAGTGCAAGTGTCGCGAAAATGTCACTGGCTTACTTCTTTAATTGTTTATCTCATTAGATAAATTATGACTCATTCATGAGTATGGAAAGTTAGACGTGTTAAACTAAAAGGTTACCTACCTGCAAATTGAAGGGCTTGTTTTGATCAAATTCAATTAGCAAAATGGGTCTAGTATAATTACGACACATTTGCGTACACTGTGTAAACAACCGTCCGGAATTCAAAGATCCTATTAAGTCCGATATCGACTTCCGTTCCACACATATTTCCGGAGTGAGAATGTAATCTCCAATCTGAAATATTAAGGAAACACTGTTAAAGTTATAACTTTTGACAGTAAGTAAATAAAAACATACGAGGATCGAATCTTACAGCAATAGTGACAGGTTCAATATTTATGCCTTTTTTGTGAAGTAATGCTGGAAGATCGGAACGAAATTCTCTCATATCGACTATGACTAAGGGTTTCTCCTTTAGTTGACTTTGCCCTCCTGAAAATAAATTCGTATTTTTAATCTGCTGCACAGCATTGTATCCTTTGAGAATTTATTAAACGGGAGTAGCCCTTAGCACTTCATTCCATACAAAAGTCGTGCCTTACAGCCTAAGGCTAGAGAAAATTCGACGCGGCCATCAGGGCCGCGGTAGCATAATCGTCAGTGCATTCGCCCAGATAGCGAAGGGTGCGGGTTCGAGTCCCGTCTGCTGCCTGGTCCGCGTGGAATTTTTTCTTGTATAATTTGCTTTAGATTTAATCATCTAGCAGTTATTTGCTTAAAAAATAAATAAGATACTTATGGTAAGGTTTAAATTATTTCTTCAATATAAGAATTTTGCATGTACGCACAGGCGCGGTCCGAAGGGGGGGGGGGGGGGACACAATCTAAGGTCAAATTGAAAAATCTCAAAAATTTGCCAAATAATAAAAGGAAATAACTAGCTTTCTCCTAACAGCGATAAATTTATAGTTTGCTGACATCTAGTGGTGTTTTTATGAACTACGTACGATGGCCAAAATAACTTGAAAATGACATAGTTTAGAAACAAGGAACCGAACTACGTAGTTTTGGTAATCCTAGCAAAATCGATATGCGTCGTTATGATAAAGATTGTATAACAATATTTTAATAATGTAATTTGTCGGTTTATTGTAAAGATTCAAGATAAAGGCTGTCTACTTAGTTAAAAACGTGGTTGAGAGTTAACATGTTAGAAGAGCGATTAACAGATTTAGCTCTTCTAAACATTCACCCGGAAATAGTACCAGACGTCTCAAATATTATCAAACGATTCGCAAATACAAAAAAAAGACGACTTCCACTTGATTTTATATAAAATAAAATTGTGTCTTGTGCAATAATGTTTATTTTATTCGAGATACCTATTTTTAGGGTTCCGTACCTCAACAGGAAAAAACGGAACCCTTATAGGATCACTTTGTTGTCCGTCCGTCCGTCTGTCAAGACCGTTTTTCTCAGGAACGCGTGGAGGTATCAAATTGTAATTCATATCTAATACTCAGGTCTACTGTCCCGTAGAGTTGTGAAAAAATCAAACTTCTAAGCCAAAGCAATCAAAAGATACAGCCGTTTATGCCGCAAATTTTAGAAACTCGCACGGGAATCAAAACCTACAGGGTACTTCCCGTGAACTTAGAATCTTGAAATTTGGTATAAAGTAACTTCTTACAGGACAGATAAAGGGAAAATTGTGAAAACCGTAAATTTTTAGTACCATCATAAAATAATTTTTTTTTTGCAAATTCTGGTGTGTACGGAACCGATGGTGCGCGAGTTCGACTCGCACTTGGCCGGTTTTTTTTATTAGTGTAGTGAGTGACCCCCTCCAAAATTTCATGCTGCGACCGCGCCTGTGTACGCATTACTGTTACCGAGGCGTTAGGTTAGTTTGTGCGTAAGGTGTTCAAATTCCTTGGTGTTCGGAAACGTCAAATCTGTCATAATTTCTTAAAACCGCAAAAGTGAACCTTGATTTTTTTATGGGTGATAGAACTTGGCTTATAGAAACTTTCTGTACTAAATCCAGGTTCCACTTTTGCCGATTTTTGGAGAAAAAAATTAAAAATCGAAATTTAAAAAAACTATATTTCTTGGAAACTAGGACACTTATAAATAAAATAAATTTACAAAATTATGCCATCAATAATTCCTTAGCAATTGGCAAATATCTCATGGACAGATATGGAACCGTCTTTTGAGGAAATTAAATTGTTAATTTTTTCATGCGCAAATTTCAAAAACTTTGCTACTTCATATCTTTTTTTTTACTTAAAATAGTGATCTGGGAATTGAATTCTTGCCTTTATTAGGGTTTAAATAATTGATTTATGCAAAAACCTTAAGGTGTAAATATTTTTGGTTCTATAAAACACTGTGGAGTGCTACTAAAGATATGATAGTAATCAAAATTCAATATGGACAAAATAAGGCGCCATATTGTGACGAAGTAAAAAAAATAGGTTGACGAAATATGTCGAGTGGGGTATCACTGTCTAGATAATCGAAAATCATGTTTAGGTTCGTAACACCATTTTTCATTTTATATGATTGTTTAGGATCTACAACGCTTTAAAGTTGTATTTTATGCAAAAACCTTAAGGTGTAAATATTTTTGGTTCTATAAAACACTGTGGAGTGCTACTAAAGATATGATAGTAATCAAAATTCAATATGGACAAAATAAGGCGCCATATTGTGACGAAGTAAAAAAAATAGGTTGACATAATATGTCGAGTGGGGTATCACTGTCTAGATAATCGAAAATCATGTTTAGGTTCGTAACACCATTTTTCATTTTATATGATTGTTTAGGATCTACAACGCTTTAAAGTTGTATGTTAACCACTTACGCTTTTAATTTCAATCTTACGTTTGTATGGATCTTTCTTTCACCTAAAAAATACTGAATAGATTTAAATGAAACTTAACAGTAATATAGCTCACATATGATAATTACATATGTATAATAATTTATGTAGTTATTGAGTGAATTGGCCAATATATAACAATAAGTGTCACATAAGACGGAAAAAAATCTCCCATCTGCGAGCCATTTTGGCCTGCACTGCAGCTTTTAATTTCAATCTTACGTTTGTATGGATCTTTGTTACTCTTTCACCTAAAAAACACTGAATGGATTTTAATGAAGCTTAACAGTAATATAGCTCATATATCATAATAACATATATATAATAATTTATGTAGTTACTGGTGTCGATTCTAGCATGATTCTCTAAACCTAAACTTAAATTTGACAGCAGTATATCCTTGTCGTTCTCTATACAGAATGAAAAGGAGAGACTGATGTTAAATTTAGTTTTAAGTTTAGAGAATCACGCCAGAATTGGCATCACTGAGTGAATTGGCTAAAATATAACAATATGTGTCACATAAGTCGGAAAAATAATCTCCCATTTGCGAGCCATTTTGGCCTGCACTGCAAAAACAATAAAAGTTACATGAATGTAATGTAGAGTGAAAATGTATCTCTTAAATAGTTCTTAAAAATGTTCGTGACACCATATATCTATTTTTAATGTGTAAGCCATTACCGCTAAAATAGTGAATCAAAACTAAAATATTATTTGATATCTATGATTTTATTTATTTTTTAAGCATTTAACTGTAGATGTTTAAATCTAAAGAAAAGTTTACTAGAAAAAAATCCACGCGGACCAGGCAGCGGACGGGACTCGAACCCGCATCCTTCGCTATCCGGGCGAATGCACTGACCATTATGCTACCACGGCCCTATTAGCCGCGTCGAAATTTTCCTAGCCTTAAGCTGCAAGGCAGCGCCATCTCTTCGCATTGTAAGTAACACAGAAGGTCAAATGAATACTTTTTCAAGTATTAAACATTTGAAAGAAGAAATAGCAATTATAGTTATGATTTTATTTATTTTTTAAGCATTTAACTGCTAGATGTTTAAATCTAAAGAAACGTTTACTAGAAAAAATCCACGCGGACCAGGCAGCGGACGGGACTCGAACCCGCATCCTTCGCTATCCGGGCGAATGCACTGACCATTATGCTACCACGGCCCTATTAGCCGCGTCGAAATTTTCCTAGCCTTATGCTGCAAGGCAGCGCCATCTCTTCGCATTGTAGGTAACCCAGAAGGTCAAATGAATACTTTTTCAAGTATTAAACATTTGAAAGAAGAAATAGCAATTACAGTTATGATTTCATTTATTTTTTAAGCATTTAACTGCTAGATGTTTAAATCTAAAGGAAAGTTTACTAGAAAAAAATCCACGCGGACCAGGCAGCGGACGGGACTCGAACCCGCATCCTTCGCTATCTGGGCGAATGCACTGACCATTATGCTACCACGGCCCTATTAGCCGCGTCGAAATTTTCCTAGCCTTAAGCTGCAAGGCAGCGCCATCTCTTCGCATTGTAAGCAACCCAGAAGGTCAAATGAATACTTTTTCAAGTATTAAACATTTGAAAGAAGCAATAGCAATTATAGTTATGATTTTATTTATTTTTTAAGCATTTAACTGCTAGATGTTTAAATCTAAAGAAAAGTGTACTAGAAAAAATCCACGCGGGCCAGGCAGCGGACGGGACTCGAACCCGCATCCTTCGCTATCCGGGCGAATGCACTGACCATTATGCTACCACGGCCCTATTAGCCGCGTCGAAATTTTCCTAGCCTTAAGCTGCAAGGCAGCGCCATCTCTGCGCATTGTAGGTAACCCAGAAGGTCAAATGAATACTTTTTCAAGTATTAAACATTTGAAAGAAGAAATAGCAATTATAGTTATGATTTTATTTATTTTTTAAGCATTTAACTGCTAGATGTTTAAATCTAAAGAAAAGTTTACTAGAATTTTTTTTTTCTAGTAAACTTTTCTTTAGATTTCATATCTATTTCCAAAATGCACATTTTGTATTAACAAATTATTTTTTATCAAAACAAATACTTTTATCGCTTTTGATATTTAAAGACGATAAACTTTGCCTTTTACACTATGTCATTTCGACAAATATTTAAAAAGTTACAACGATGACAAAGTGTGATAGCGCGGTGTACTATGTAGGACTAGACTGCGGGAATACTAAGAGCAGAAATTTAATTCAGGTGTTTATAAACGTGGATAAAACCTAGGCGAAAAAGAAAAACATGGGCTACTCGCAGTATCTGATCCTATACGAAGTACTTACCATAAAACTGTGATACAGTTCCTTCTTATTGAATGATGAAAAGTAAATTATCATAATAGGTATTTATGATTATTGAATTTTAATGAAAAGCTCAGAATTATAGTTTTTTTTAACGATATTACTTAATGTTACAAAATAGCATTACTTAATATAATGACAAATAACCCTTTTTTCGCTAGTAGGTACATAGGTACTTATTGGAATCCCGATATTTATTAATCAGCTCGCGATAATATTGGTTTTGTAATTATAAACGACAATTCTGCAAAATTCAAAAAGAATGTAGATTTTTATAGGTA